ATTGTATTTGAACCAATAATTTCTGTATTTGAACCAAATACCATTTAATTGACTCAAATAATAATTATTTGATACAAATAAATATTTATTTGATAATAGTCAAGTAATGGAGTATTTGAATCAAATAAATTTTTTTTCATTGTATTATCAACAACACAGCATGGATACAAAAAAGATAGAAAAATATTATTTGACCGTACGCATCTGTAGTCAGATGGAGACTGACTTATACCCTAGACTGAAAAAATTTTGGTGCAGCATCTGTCACGAAACGAAAAATTTCTGTATTCACTTAACTTCCATACTTAATATTTGCCACGAGTTTTTATGAGTGAAGTTAACTGAATATATAAATTTTTTGTTTATAGAGCAGCTGCTGCACCAAAATTTTTGCAGTGATAGATCCTTTATTTATTACTCTTCATATACCTAAGACATATTTATAGGTACTGTACCCAAAAAATGTTTGTAACAAGATCTTTATAATATTTCTGCTAATATCTTTTTAACTAACATCGTTGCATTTCCAACAAACAAAAAGTAAAAAATATATCAATATTTATTTGAAACGAAAATAGTGAGTTATTTGAAACTATTCATTTAATACACTTTTTTTATTTTTCATTGCTGCAGTGATTTAAAAAAAATATATAGACGAAAAATGATTTTATCTATTTGAACGTTTAGAATTTCAGACACACACATATAAAGAACCTACTTTTTAAATAAATTAGTAAAAACCTTAACCTATTCGAATTAGTCACACTACTTTTGCCTTTAAGTTAGTAAAATTTAAAGGCAAAAGTAGTGTGACTAATTCGAGATGGTTAAGGTTTTTACTAATTTATTTAAAGAGTAGTTTTATTATTATATGTAATCATTTTTTCGTCTATAATTTTTTTTTAAATCACTGCATCAATAAAAAATAAAAAAGTATATTAAATGAATAGTTTCAAAAAACTCACTATTTTCGTTTCAAATAAATATTTATATATTTTTTACTTGTTTCTGTTGAAAGTGCAACGATGTTAGTTAAAATTAGTAAATTTTACTAATTCAAATGCAAAAAGTGAGTCACTAACTCTAATTAAAATTTTTACTAATCCTTTAGACCTCCATGAAGTTGGCGTCGACGCTCAGTGTCGAAATTTATTTTTCACATATTAGGACCAAAATTATCAAATCATTTTTAAAAAAGTTTTGCTCTCTAAATATGAATCAGTGAAAAAGTCACTGGTCTCAAATCAGTCGCTAAATTTGACTGAAAATCAGTGAAATGTTACTGATTCAAATAGCTAGAATTTTACGACTGATTTGAGCCCAGTGACTTTTTCACTGATTCAAATTTAGAGAGTGGGTTTACATAATACATTTGAAAAGTATTTCTCAAGACATTATTTGGATTGAAAATTTAAAAAAAAAATAATTTGACATTTTTGGTCCAGTAAAAAACAATTTTCGGCGCTGAGCGTCGACGCCAACTTCATGGAGGTTCCTTTAGAGTGTATAATATTCATTTTTATATAACAGATATTTATTTATTTAATATTTATTAAAATAAATCCTACAGTCATAAAGACCAGTTACAGGATTATCATAGTAGTATTATAATATAAAAATATAACAAATAAAAAAAAATTGTATTTGTAAATTATAAGGGAGAGGGCCCCAAGATGGACATTTGATAAAAAATTTTCGTATAAGTATATATCGCCTCGTGATTTTTTTTCTACTGATTTAGTTTGTTTAGATGAAGCTTTTTATATAAACACGGATCGAAAAGAATTATTTTTCTTCCTGTAGCACATATCACGTGGATTTTTCGTTTTAAAAAGTTTTGTGTAACAGTTTTTATTTCAGTCGGTAAAATTATTTATATTTTTGATTTCGAATAGGTGCATAGCGTAATAACTTCATTTATTTATCGTATAATAGTATTCTAAAATGATTCGGTTAACACTGTGTTTGTAAATAATTTTTATTTACGCCAAAAAAATGTGGTCATATTGGTCCTAAGATGATAAGACAATAGTTTTGAACGTTCAAATGAACGAAATTTTTTTTTCGCAACTTCTTTAAGTACTAAATTTATTACAAAATATTTGTTTTAATTATCTCAAAAGAAGTTATTAATTTAATAATTGTTTAATTTATTGTTTTATTTTATATATTGACATCATAATTTTTAATAATTTATAGATTGAAAAAAATATTTCGTTCATTTGAACGTTCAGAACTTTTGGCTCATCTAAGATGGATATCACATCTTAATTTCTTAATTTTATTTATTTTCAATGTTACAGTTTCTTAATAATGCTCTAAGCCTCATAATTGAAATTTTTTCTTTTTCTACTTCGAAATTGTGTTATTATCAAGAGAGAATTGAAATCTGTGAGAGAGAAGTGCACTTAAAGTGCGCAAAAATCTAGGGACCCTGGTTCGAATGTCCGAATTGTGATTCAGACAATTCAGCTTAGAACTGGATTTATGGTTAATTTCTTTTAATTAATTATAAAAAAACTAATCTCTTATTGAATAAATTATAAATTAAATAAATTGGATAGGATCAATTAAATAAATTAATTTAATTAAATTATTCTCGTTAAAATTAATTTTCTTACAATAGTATTTAATTTTTAACATTTAAAAAATGTTAGAAAAAAATATAATAAAGAAACAGAAAATTGGTTTAAAAATCCTTACTTGATATTTTATTTTTATTTTACCAGTTTTTTAATGCATTCTATGAAGCTGTCCATCTTGGGGCCACTTTTTTTCCAATCGAAATTTACAACAATTTGAAAAAATTCTTTAAAAAATGTTTGTTTTCAAATTAAAATTTTTTCTTTATGGCCAAAGGATACCTTATTTATTGTACTTTCATATACGGTATGCACCATTTTTAAATATCCTAAAGCGTTTGGATTCCTAGAACACAAAATCAAAACTACTCTCTAAATCTGAATCAGTAGAAATTTTACTAATTCAATCAGTACTTTTCATTTTAACTGAAGTTTCAGTTATTTTTTGAAATTTACTAATATAATTAGTGAATATGCAGGCAATAGAAAATAACTTATGTAAATCAGTAATTTTTATATAACATAACCTTTAAAATTAACTATTAAATCAGTAGATTTTGTGGCCGCCGCCATATATTTATATTACTGATTCAATCAGTAATTGATATTTTACTAATTGAATCAGTAAATTTTTACTAATTGTCAGTTGCTCAATTCTCGCTATGGCAATTAGTAGATTTCTACTGCTAATCAGTAAAATATGACTAATTCAGATTTAGAGAGTATGTCCATCTTGGGGCCCCTCTCCCCTATAATATACATCAGCTCATATCAATTCTCCTTAATATATCGAATAACATTTTTAAGAAAAGTGTTCAATGATTGGTCAAATATGTCAAAGCGGCTGACGGACCCCAGTAAATGTTTCACAGAGTTTTAAAATTGGTTTAGTTTTACCAAGATTCCCGCAGTGTAAAATTGTATATTGTAATCTCGAGAAAAAAATTGAGGAACAGAAATTGGAATTTCAGACAGTAACTACCAACTAGAAATTACCCCATTAATTATTTTAAAAATAAATCTTATTCCGTCAATTATTCTTTGATTTTCTACAGAAAGTTCATTAAATCTTTTATACACAATTGAGAGAATACTCTAAACTCTGATACAAAGAAAAAAAAATTTTATCTGATTTAAATACTTGGTTACTTGACAAATTATCTGACAAATATTTACTTGAACCAAATAATATTTATTTGAATTAAATAAATTGCTTGCTTGCAATAATTATCTTCGCATCAATTATACTCTTTTAATTTTCTGTCCTAGTTGCAATTGTCTAAGCATTATTTCTGTATCGGCTTTCTTTTTTATTACCATATTTTCCAATAAGTTTTACCAGACGGATTTGAGTGTTTATAATATATATATAAGAAGCCATTGATGTGAGATTTTAATTGAATATATTTCTTCCATAATTGTTTATAAGAATTTAAAACTTTGTACCGAATAATTTTTTCCTGTCTAAAAGTTGCAATTTTATTTCTTAAAGGAAGGCAACATGAAGTTGTTTCTAACAAATAAATTAATTATTATAGTTGATTTGTATTGGCTTTAGGGTCTAAATGAATGAACACGTAAATGTTAGTGTTTAATGCATACGTTTCAGCCGTGATTTCGGCCTTCTTTAGTTCAGACTTTCAATAAATAATAATTAAACCATTATGAATCATTAACAAATAAATATTGTAAAAAATTTATTTTGGAAAAAAAATTTTTTGGAAATTTTAAATTTCGGAAAAAATGCTCATTGGTAAAATTCTTATTGGGAAAAATTATTTGGAAAAAGTGATACCCCCTACCAAAAAATAGAATTAAAAAAAAATATTGCTTTTACGGTATCAAGAGTATATTTTTTAGAAAGTATCAACTGATGTTGCAGACCGCATACACTATCATGTTTCTCTCTCTGATCATTTAAGCCAAATCATTCTCATTTATATACACTATATAACTAAAAAGAAACTGATATATAAAAAATAAATTTCTTTTTTCCTTTACGAGAATTATTTCCCCCTTTCTACATATATATATATATCCATAAAAAAGCAAAATTTTATAACCTGTGAAAAAAACTATAAAAAAATAAATGTTTCTCATCGTCAAAATAACCAAAAAAAAAAAATTTTTTTATAGGAAAATTTCGTGACTTTATGAATTTTATATAGATACGATTCACTGATAAAAAAAACGAGCATCACTTGGCAAGTGGCGTTTTTCATATCCACACTCTTATCTCGAGTTCTCGTTTCTCGATAACGTGTCAGTCTTTTCATTCCACTCATTTTTTTTCCCCACACACACCCCCTCCGTTTGCTATTCTCGAAAGAACCCCCTCATCTGTCAGGGTATAATGATAATCACAATAATAATAATAATAATAAAAATCACAATAATAATAATAATAATAATACTCACTCAACGAGTCAGGGCAGTGGAGCTTCATGAAAAGGCGAATCAGGCCATCGTGCCTCCTCAAGCTGCCGCGCACTATCGAACTCTGGAGTTGATCTTGTACTCCAAGTTTACGCAGTCTTGCCTATCATGATATTTCTCGCCTATTTTTTATAAAATCAAATTTAATATAATGCAAAAGAAAGTGGTTGTTTATATGAATGAAAAATAGTGAGTGAGAGTGATAAACAAAAGAAAAAAAAAGAGTAAGTGAAAAAATTAAAAAAAAAGAGGGTTGACGAGAACGATCCTAAGGACGCCTCTATATATATGAGGTAAAGCACAACACCAAAGCACATATAGACACACACAGTAGGTAGAGAGAGAAAGAGAGAGAATAAAAAAAAAAGCACACCACACCCCAGCAAAACACACGCGATAATAATGAAACGATGCGCGTTCACCAATGATAAATATAGCACCACTGTTTACAAAATAAAAAAGCGCCTTTGCGGCGTCACATCACCGAGCGGATGTCATCAGGTGAGGGCGCCTGATGAACCAACTAGACTAGGAAATATTCGGCGGTGAGCTTCGCGGCGGAGCTTGTCCCCGCAGACATGTCGTCGTCAGTCGCAAAACCCCGAGTCCAGTAGCGCCACTCCGTTAAGCTTCGGCATTGTTCGGCGTCCTTCGGAATTTCTCTTTTGTGTGCGCCTGTGTGTGTATGAATGAGTGAAAGCGTCGACGACGACGACGACGACGATGGCCAGCAACAAGGGTAACGGCGATCGCGCGGGAGCTTTCTCCCTTCCCCCATTTTCTATATAAAATAAGGGGAAGAGAGAGAGAGAGAGAAAGAGCTATATTTCTGCTATACAACGCTTGGGAAAGCTTCGGTATATGACTCTATACGAATATATAGTATAAGAGTTTCCTTCTTATAGTGTTTGTCAACTATGAGAGGCATATGCATACTTAACTTGAAATGATGGTGCGACACCACATATATTGCAAAGAGGAATATACCAATGAGAAGATCCCTTCTTTTCTAAGAAATAGAATTTAAGACGAATTTATAGAATATTTCCATTCTCAAGCAGCACGGTATATCACCTGAATACCATCGTGGAATATTCCCATCATCTTCCAGGAAAATCAAAATGTCCGCATCATGGGAATATTCCACAGGAACATTCAGGGTATACAGTCAAACCTGGATAAGTGAAAAACCTCTTTAAGCGACGGAAATCGCCAGGTCTCTTCATTTTCCCATGTAAAAACCTCTATAAATGAGAATTTGTACAGTGCCGCTCAGTAGATTTTGCCCACCCTACAGAATTTTAGGCGTTGCAAAAAGTTTTATATTTTTGTTTCTAATACAGATAAAACAATAAACAAAGACTTTTTTAAAGCTTATATCCTCTAGTTTTAGAATATCTAAAAAAGTGAATTAAAAAAAAATTTATTTATTGCTTAATTGCTCTTATTAATTAACAAAAATAAGAGCAATTAAGCAATAAATACACAGTTACTTTGGGGGTATCAAAAAGCGTTGCAGATCAAATTGATTTAAAAAATAGATCAAAATGATCCAAAATTTGTATTATTTTACTGCAACATTTGATGTCAATTGTTTGTTCTGAAACGTCAATGACATAACCATCGTTGAGTTTATGAAAAAATTGCATTTTCTATTTGAAGTTTTAGTAAAAAATTGTTAAAGCACTCGACTATGAATTTAAAAAAAAATTTTGTTTAATCAATTGTTTTTTGGTTCATTGGATCAGTAAGGATTGATATTCTAACCATAACCGTTTGGTTAGAATTCCTGGTGCTTGAAACAAAAATTTTATTCCAATTAATTTTTTTTAATAAAATAATTTGATTCGGAAAATTGGTTTGATTGGCACAGAAAATAATGTTTTGCTTTTCTTATTAAATTAATTATGCTTGTTAATAACAAAAGTTTTTTTCAACAATGACTAAATTAAAAAATTGATTATAACACTTAAGCTGGTAAGCAAACAAAAAAGGTGTCCTTTATGTTAAAGTTATAAAGAAGATCATTTTATGAACATGTTTGTTTTCTCGTTGAGGTAAGAAAAAAATTTGCTTGTGCGTAAAGAAAGCATTAAATTTGATTTGCTTTTATGTAAAATTTTATACATGTCGTTAATTTTATTTTTATAATAATATATTTATTTATAATATTTATTTCATAATAAATTGTTCCACATTAGTTTGACAAAGAATTCCTGGATATTAAATAATATTTTGAGATTAATTAAAATAACTTGTGATTATTTTTCATTAATTTGTATTTTTTAAAAGTATATCTAATAAAAGTGAAAACATTTTGACAAGTATAATGAATTAGTTTTTTTTGTATGACATAAACACGGTGTTATGTTTTTTACCTTCCCATTGATCGAATTTATTTTTATGAAATAATACACTTGGAAAGAAATTTAAATTTTTATTACAATGAATTAGTGTATTAAGAAAATCATATTAAATAAAATACTCCTTAAAACAAAGGTATTGATATCAAAAACTTTTGTTATTAACAAGCATAATTAATTTAATAAGAAAAGCAAAACATTATTTTCTGTGCCAATCAAACCAATTTTCCGAATCAAATTATTTTATTAAAAAAAATTAATTGGAATAAAATTTTTGTTTCAAGCACCAGGAATTCTAACCAAACGGTTATGGTTAGAATATCAATCCTTACTGATCCAATGAACCAAAAACCAATTGATTAAACAAAATTTTTTTTTAAATTCATAGTCGAGTGCTTTAACAATTTTTTACTAAAACTTCAAATAGAAAATGCAATTTTTTCATAAACTCAACGATGGTTATGTCATTGACGTTTCAGAACAAACAATTGACATCAAATGTTGCAGTAAAATAATATAAATTTTGGATCATTTTGATCTATTTTTTAAATCAATTTGATCTGCAACGCTTTTTGATATCCCCAAAGTAACTGTGATAAATTTTTTTTTAATTCACTTTTTTAGATATTCTAAAACTAGAGGATATAAGCTTTAAAAAAAGTCTTTGTTTATTGTTTTATCTTTATTAGAAACAAAAATATAAAACTTTTTGCAACGCCTATAATTCTGTAGGGTGGGCAAAATCTACTGAGCGGCACTGTAAGTGACCGATATTTTTTTCGGCCTGACCTCTATAAGTAAAAGATGCGCTTCTCGAACCTCTATAAGTGACAATTCTTTCATTTTATTTTCTTGGATTGACCTCTATAAGCGAAAGACGCATATTTCGAACCTCTATAAGTGAAAATCGTTTCCGTATTTAAATTTTCAACAGAGCAATAGAAATGATTTATTCATTTTCTGATAACACTTTTTTTCAAATAAATAAATAAATGAATGAATTTAGTAAATTTCGCATTGTTAATTTGATTTGTCAAAACCTCTATAAGTGAACGCAGCCATGCTTGAACCTCTATAAGTGATAGAGACCGCATTTCGACCTCTGTAAGTGAAAACCTGTATTAATGAAAAACCTCTATAAGAGATAAAAAATTGTTGCTCCCTTGGGATGTCACTTATCCAGGTTCGACTGTATTCCAGTGACATCCCAAGTGAAACGATTCTACGGAAATCACTCCACGGAAATTCTAGACGGAATTCCGCAAAATTTTTAAAGTATTCCTTTCGTAATTTTGCGAATTTTTTTTGGAAGAATTCCATACAGAATTGCACAAAATTTTCGCAATAAAATTCCACAACTTTATTTTTTGCTGATTTTTTTGTGATTTTAAAATAACTGCTGCTACTATAACGAAAACTAGTCGACGATGATGTTCCTGATGGATATAATATAGAATTTATGATATAGATTAATACATATCTAGTCGAACTTATTTGAGAGGTCAATAAAACGTTTTCCAAATTTTTTTTATTTATTCAATTAGATTTCTGATTTATTTAATGTGTTTGCAATTTTAATTTTAATATATTACTTCTTTTCACGATAAAAGCTGATTCTTATTATTTATACAAAAAATTGCTGAGAAATTGCGAACTTTCTTTTAAAACTAAATCACTCGTTATAGTAACAGGGTCAAATCATGCCTAAAAAATCAAAGTTGTCCCCTAGGTTTTCGATTATTAAAATTTTTATATAAGAACAGTAAAATTTCTAAAAAAATATATGAAATTTAAAAAAATTTGTTTAAAATAATTGTTTATTTATAACAATTATTTTTGAATGTAAATAAAATGGATTTATCCTTAAAACAAAGTTTAAATCATTTGGATAGTTTATCAATTGTTTTTGTTGTTATATTTTGTAAAAAATAAAATTTTAAAGAATTCAATAAATATGTGTTAGTTGTTTATTGAAAAATATAAATAATTAATAATTAAGCAATAAAAACGACCCGATTTCTCTTATATTTATCACTGATCATTAGCCAAGAGGAAATATTCAATTCTATTAAGATTTACGGGCTATTAGTAGTGTTGAACAGCAACTTGCATACAACGACTAGCATTGAAAGCGCAGTTCGCCGCTGCGCGAAAAGACAAAAAATTCAATATCTCGGAAAGTTTAAGAGTCTCCATCGATTTTTTTTATGAAAATACTCGTGAGATCCTAAGGAATCGAAATATCAGTATTAGAAAAAAATTAAAGATACGCTTATCAAAGAAAAATTTGTTTAAACAATAATTTTTAATTTTTTTTGTTTAAAAAAAAAAATTTTTTTTTTCGTAAATTTTTTTCTAAATTGTTAGCTAATAATATGTATTCCCTGAAAAAATCATTAAAATCGATTCGTTTTTCTTTGAGATACAAATTTTTCAAAATTTCAAAAAAAATTTTAAAAGTCCTGTAAATACTAAAATTTTCAAAAATCGCTTTTGGACTTTTCATTAGCATGTTTCCATTTTCCAAAAGTTTCATCGAAATCGAAAACCTAGGGGACAACTTTGATTTTTTAGGTATGATTTGACCCAACAGCTAAAACTAATTTAAAAAATTGTTATTTTATTTGATATAATTATATGTAAGTTTGATTCTATATACCTTTGAGCATGCATTTAGAGGTCATTTTTCTCGTTAAAAGTGTTCGGTTGACACCTTGATTTCTATACATCAAATCATAACGTAAATTTTATTTTATACACTGTAAAAAGACTAGTAGATTTTACTACTTGTTAACAACCTTGCGTTATTCAATACGTCCTCAACGAAATTTAAAAAGTTGTATTGACTATACCAAAAAGTAGATAAAAGAACTAAGAATATAGTTGGTCCGATGAGATTTTGTAGTTGCTTTAATTTTTGTAGTTGACTCAATTACATTTTTAAGTCAGATCAATACTAGGTAATTATTAACTCTATAAAAAATAGTTAAATTGACTACTCGCACTTTTAACCAAATTTTTGGTTAAAAATAACCAAAAAATTAGTTAGTTTTACTATTTTTCAGTCAACTAACTAACGGTAGTTGAATTTCTCGACTAATTTTTTTCAGTGTATCCACCAGCAGTTATTTTAAAATTACAAAAAAATCAGTAAAAAATACACTCAATAAAAAAACTAGTAGATTTGACTACTTTTAAACTACCCTGCATAGTTCAATAGATCCTTAACTGAATTTAAAAAGTTGTATGAACTATTAAAAAGTAGTTAAAAGAACTAAGAATTTAGTTGGGTCAAGGAG